ACCTCATCTCTACAATAAATCACAAAATTAGCCAGGCGTGGTGGCGCATGCCTTTAGTTCCAGCTTCTTGAAAGGCTGAGGCAGAAGGATTGTCTGACCCCAGCAGGTCGAGCCTGCAGTGGCCGGGAGCGTGCCACTGCACTCCAGTCTGGGCGACAGAGTGAGACTCCAACTCAAAAAAAAAAAAGAATCTAATGCCGCCGCTGATCTGACAGAAGACAGTAATGCAAGCAGTGGACAGCGGCTGTAAATACAGATGAAGGTTCTCTCACTCACCTGTTGCTCACCTCCTGCTGTGCGATCCAGTTTCTACTGGACCACAGCCCGAGGGTTGGAGACCCCTGCCCTGGAAGACCCACTCCCCACTCCATAACAAAAGCCCCGGTGTCAGAACTGCGACTCCTACTTTTGAGAATTTGCCCACCTCCATAAAGATACAGCCTAGTTTTGGTGTTGGGTTTTTGTTTGGTTTTGGAGTTGGGGGTTTCGCTCTGTCACCCAGGCTAGAATGCGGTGGTACGATCACAGCTTACGGCAACCTCAACCTCCTGGGCTCTGGCGATTTTTCTGCCTCAGCCTCACGAGTAGCTGGAACCACAGGTGTGTGCCACCACACACAGGTAATTTTTGATGTTTTTTGTAGAGATGAGGTCTCACTATGTTGCCTTGGCTGGTCTTGAATTCCTGGGCTCAAGCAATCCTCCCACCTCAGCCTCCCAAAGTGCTGGGATTACAGTCATGAGTCATCACACCTGGTCAGCCTATCCTTTTACAAGAGTCAAAGGTTGATACAGGAAGCACTTGGTCAGCATCAGGGGCCTGGGCTGTAGTTCCACCTCTCACCAAGTAGCCTCAGGGAATTCTTAGCCTCTTAGAATATCATTTCCCTTGGTGTAAAACTGGGCGAATGATGCCCCTAACTTTTTGGGGGTCCTCGTGAAGAACAGCTTAGTGAAGGCGTGCTGTGCTGTCTGAAAATTGGAAAATGCTTCACATTGTCAACAATAACCTATTTTAAAGTGTCACAGCAGGCTGGGCGCAGTGGCTCCCGTCTCTGTAATACCAGCACTTTGGGAGGCGAAGGCGAGAGGATTGCCTGAGCTCAGGAATTTGAGACCAGCCTGGAAAACTTGGGGAGACCTTGTCTCTCCAATAAATCAAAAAATTAGCTGGGCATGGTGGCACGTCCCTGTAGTTCTAGCTATTTGGAAGGCTAAGGTTGAAGGATCGCCTGAGTCTAGCAGGTCAGGGCTCTGGTGGCTGTGAGCATGCTACTGCACTACAGACTGGGCTACAGAATGACAATCAGACTAAAAAAAAAGTGTCACAGCAGAAGATGAGGGAGGGAAACTATGTAGAGGGCTTCTGCTCGGTGAATACTCAAAAAAAAGCTAAACAAATGGTTCTCAACTGGGAGGATTTTGCCCTGCAGGGGACATTGGGCAATGTCTGGAGACATTTTCGATGGACTTGAGGTGATGACACTATTGGCAACTCAGAGGAAAAGGTCAGGGACGCTACTGAACACCCATAATGCATAGGACAGTCTCCACCCGCTGTCCCTGCAACAAAATTATCTGGTCCCAAATGTCAATGGTGCTGAGGTCAAGAAACCCTGAGCTGAGCTAGCCTGTGCCTTTGCTGGGTTCCTGACATCAGGGAAGATGGCAGGGAGGGGCAGAGGGCTGCAGCTTAGCTGGAAAGGGAGTCATTCTGAGAAGAAAGGCCAAGATTTCAAAGACCATGGGAATCCCTGTCTAAACACAACCCAAGTCAGTTTAATGACACGATGCGAAGGCTCTATGCCTGAAGAGTTACAGTGCTCTTCTCTTCTCCCCATGGGCACATGTGGGCAGGGAGGAGGAGATGAGAACCAGGCCCGTGCAGGCACCTTGTCGGCCCCCTCGCTGGCCTGGGAAGGCAGGGCCAAGATGGGAGAGGTCAGCACTCCACCTAGGGCAGCGCTGGACCAGAGAGGGTGTTTCTGCTGTGTGGCTCTCTCTCCTGCCCTCCTCTCGTGGCTCCGGGTGGTACCAGCACTGAAGAGGCCTCTGGGACTGAGGGTGGCAGAGGTGAGGGACGAGATTGGGAGATATCATGTTTCCCTGGCCCTCTTTGGTCCATAATCAGCTCAGCACAGAGGGCCTTGGGTCAGCCCAGACAGAAGTTCAGAAGGTAGGTTCACGGCCTTGGTGGCACTAAACCAAAAGCTACAATCCATGTAGGGAGTGGAGGTGTTTCAGAAAAGGAGAGCCAGGCTGGGTATGGCGGCTTACGCCTGTAATCCCAACACTTTGGGAGGAGGAGGTGAGAGGATTGCCTGAGCCTAGGGGTTCGAGACCAGCCTGGGTAACTTGGTGAGACCTCGTCTCTACAATACATCAAAAAATTAGCCAGGTGTGGTGGTGCATGCCTGTGGTTCCAGCCACTTGGAAGATTGAGGTGGAAGGAGCACCTGAACCCAGCAGATCGAAACTGCGGTGGCCGTGAGCGTGGCACTACAATTCCAGCCTGGGTGACAGAGTGAGACTCTAACTCAAAAAAAAAAAAAAGGACAGCCCTTCCTTTGCACAAATAAGCTCCGAGGAACACAACTTCTCTGTCTGTCAGTGAAGGAAGCTTTCAGGAGAGGAGGTCATTGTCTGGACTCCAGGTCCATGATTTATTCAGGTCTCCACTGTTTCCTGGGTGCCTGCTGCCTTCCTGTTTAATTTCCTTTTAAATAAATACCTATTTATAACCAGAACACTGTTCTGACTTTTTTTTTGAGTCAGGGTCTCATTCTGTCACCAAGGTGGAGTGCACTGGCACGATCACAGCTCACTGAAGCCTCAACTTCCTGGGCTCAGGCAATCCTTCTGCCTCAGCCCCTTGAATAGCTAGGACTACAGGTACACGCCACCATGCTTGGCTAATTTTTTTGATTTTTAGTAGAGACGAGGTCTGACTATGCTGTCTAGGCTGGTCTCGAACTCCTGGGATCAAGCAATCCTCCCACCTTGACCTCCCAAAATGCTGGGATTACAGGTGTGAGCCACTGTACCTGGCCCATTGTTCTGATTTATATTACCATAGATTAGCTCTGCCTGTTCTAAAACTTTGCACAAACAGAATCATACAGTATATATTCTTTTCTCCCTCTCTGCTTCCCACAACATCATACTTTTGAGCTTGTCCATGTTAATTGTACCAGTAATTCGTTCCTTTTTTCTGTTGAGTAGTATTCCATTGCATGACTATGTCACAATCTATTTGTCCATTTTCCCGTTGATAGGCTTCCGGGTTGTTTCCAGTGTCTTACTACTATAAATAAGGTTGCTTAGAAATTTCCATTTTCCCGGTTGGGCATTGTGGCTCATACCTGTCATCTCAGCACTCTGGGAGGGGGAGGTGAGAGGAGTGCCTGAGCCCAAGGGTTTGAAACCAGCCTGGGCAACCTAGCAAGACCTGTCTGTACAATAAATCAAAAAATTAGCCAGGCTCGGTGGCTCAGCCTGTAATCCCGCGCCTGGGGAGTCT